AAAGTTCAAAAGAAATGATATTCAAGTACCGAAAAGCTTTCTTACTATCATATCTACAGTAACGTTCAAATGCGCCCACACTCGGTTGAACGAGAGTGACCCCCCAACAGGGAGGAGATAGTTCACAGAAAACGTACAAAGTTCACACTGCTGACCCCACGGTTTATTCAGTACAATAAACAAAAGTACGACTGCAATGAAAGATAAACTTGAAATAAAAATATATTTATGATACAAAATTAAAATATTTTTATGTACATATATAAACATGAAATCCTAGTTAAAAAATAAAAATACTCACTTATTGTTTAGGTTTATTTACAAATATCATTTTTTGGGTCTTGTATATTACTTGAAACCATAAGGAGAGTACGTGATTATGAAAAAATTAAAAATAGATAAAATTTGCATTTTATGGACGATACAAATTTTTTGAGATTCCAACATAATGTACTAAAACATAAAAAGTAATAAGTTCAAATCTGGAACAAATATAAATATCGTAATCATTTCTTATAAATACCATTTCCTAATGTAATTTTCCAAGATATTAAAGATCATAATGCAAAATAACTAAATTTATCAAAAGTAACAGGCTTTATGTTTCTTAAACTACATACATTTAGGAAAGTTCTTATGAAGTTTCGAACATATTCATCCACTAGTTTTATTGTTGGAATGAAATATAGCAAGACTTGCATTGCTTATTAAGAAAGTTAGTAGCCGGTAGTCATCGTGTTAAAGAAATCACTTGCACTAGAAACCTGTTAATATTTACACCTTGATAGACATAAATTTGTGACCAATTGAATGAATGTACCATGGATAGAGGTGAATGTCAGAAAAAATTGGTTCATTGAAGTGCAACTCAATGGACAGACTTCTGTTTTTCCCAAATTATTATATTGTAAGATTTTACATGTTAATCTACCATCTAAATGCTGCCAAAACACAGTTTCTCATTTTATAATTGTAGAAGACATGAGCATTGCTAATATTGTAGAGTTTAATAACAACCATAGTTAATACTTGAAGATATGTTGGAGTAAATAACACAATACTGATGTTTCATATGCAAATAGGTTAAAAAATAAGAATAGCATTATCAATGTTTGACCACCAGTCTGATTCAGTATATGGATTGTGATCCTGAGGTTTGAACAAAGATACTAACATGTATATGTAATGAAATATTTTGTGATTAACAGACATTTGATAAAGGTATCAGCCTATAAATATACTAGAACATTTTTTTGTGAGCTACAACACATATTTCATTGGATAAGACGAAGATGTTGTGAAAATAAAATAAATTATTTTTCAATGTATTCAAATGAGACCCAAAACTCAAGCACTTTTGAATAGTTGACTATTCTCCTTCAGGAGAGTAAGAAGAAGAATAGTCAACTGTTCGAAAGCACTCAAGATTTGGGTCTTGTTTGAAAACATGATAACTTTTGTAGGTGATCCTGTGTGCTAACTTCTTAACCAGAATAAATTATTTTTTGTCATGTTTAATGATTTGTACATGATGCAATAGAAATAGAACATGAAACTTTATACATGATAAAATGTTGATGCCAGTGAAATCTACCCATGGTTTTATGAAAATTTTACAAAAGAGGCTGCTGTAAAGAAACTTGCAAAAAGTAGTTAAACTCAAAAATTCATATGTGTATGTATTGATAACTAAAAAAATATAAGCTCTCTCCTTAAATTTTTTATGAATAGCTTACTGATATTAAAATGCAAATACAGGTAAAATGATTTTTTCTTTAGAATTCAATTCTTTTGCATTACAGAAAGAAACAAATTAACATCAGTTTCTCATTGCAACTCTGGTATCTTTTTTGCCAATTACAGTTAAATATCGGTGATCAATCATTGGTATTTGTCACTGTTTCAGTCAACAAAGTTTAGTAAATACTGATTAAGTGTTTTTAGTGGTGAAGTTATTGAGCTTTATATTTACAGTGATTGCTTTTTTTGGAAAGCAAAGTAAAAAAAGAAAATGGTTAAAATTGGTTACTGCTTGTCATTGAAACAGGTGACTGAACTACCATACATAGATTGTATTATTTCTGTTAAACTCCCACATGTTTTTGGGTTCCAACAAATGTTGTATGTTTTAGTTTTGGGATTGTTATATTCATGCAGTCTTGTAAAGTCCTACAGTTTGCAGAACTACAGGGGCACATTGTGATTGTTTATTAAGGCAAGGTTGCATGTTCTGGTCTAAAAGGATTTATTAACATCAAATGTTACAACTTCATTCTCATTCATCCTTAGTTTGGTAAGTGCAGTCATTGGGAAACATGTTTTTTTTTCAGTTAGTCTGTGCAGCATTTTAACTGTATCGATTGTGAAGTGGATGCCTTGTATACAAGAATGAAATAAATTGTTGTTTAATATTGTTTGCATCTCAACATTGTGTACTGTAGAAAATCATTATTTACATGTTTAATTCTAAAGTCTGATAAGTGAAAAATTTTTGATAATTTAGTGTTGGATATATATATATGCGTGTGTGTGTGTGTGTGTGTGTAATAGTAAATTAGATTTTATTGATTTTTTTTCCCCCCTGTAGGATGATGATGTTGATGCCAACGAAATCTACCCATGGTTTCATGGAAATATCACAAAAGAGGCTGCAGTAGAGAAACTTGCAAAAAGTATGTTTCTCCTGTTTTGTCAGGTTTTTTAGGTTAGCTTTTGAAAAGATCATTATAAACCTTTGAAACAGAATACTTTTGAAGAAAACAATGTTTATGGTAGAGCAGTTCTGAGGAAGTGTGTCACAACTTGTGACTTTTGTGGAGTGTCTAACACCAGTTAGATTCAAAATAGGGTTTAATATGAAGCTGTAATCTTAATAGTAATAGTATTAAAATAGTAATTTTAGTTGATGGTAATGTAACTGATGTGATTACATGTAAAAATAAAAAATCAGGAAACTTTTTCTGATTTAAATAGATTATGCCCACCTTTAACACAAAGTTATCCAGTATTTTGGAACAAAAAAGACTCCAAAAAACATTGTAATACCCAAAACAAAACAATCCATGTTTTGAAATACTATATTCCAACATTTATTTTAAAATTGGGTTGAAGAATTCCACAGAGAACTTGTCAAATGCTCTTAGCATTGTTGCTGCTTGTGTCATCGCTAGCACTTGAGTGTTATTTTTCACCTATAAGTATGTTAGTTAGATAGACAATTAAATTTTATTTTAGTTTTGAGTTTTATATTTCAGATAATTATGTGTTAATTATATTTTAAAATGCATATTAGAAAATTTAATAATTTTTTAAAAATATAAGTCAGACTACCTCAGTTTATCAGGCTTAGTGTAGTTGGCAAATGTCCAAAGGTTTTGATGACAGCTAAAGTGTCGCTGCTGAGGAAACCCTGAGAATGCCTACTCACATGTGTCATGATAAGTAATAATACTAAAGGATAGGAAAGGAAATAAAACATCAAAATAAACTTTTTGTGAAAAAGTAAAAATTTACAATTAAGTATATAAACTAAGAAGGTTTTCAAGATTATTTGGCAAAAAATTAAAAGTTATGTAAATTTTTTATTTTAAACATTTTACTGCACAATATGTTAATGATAATACTTGAAATATTCAGTCTGAGTGTAAATAATTACAATACAAAAATTAGAAATTTCTAATTAAAATAATTAAAACAATCTCATTCTTTGTGTACAAAATACTTGTAATCTTTAACAAGATCTTTATAAAGATACGCTAAGAAAGCTCAGAGTTATTGTAAGTATTGTTGAACAGTGTATCATTCTGCATACGAGCTGAGCTCAGTGGACCTACCCATAACCATAGAGTTAATTAACAATGCCAGCTCAACCAGATGGTTGAAAGAAAGTAAATATGGCTCCTTCATTGGTATTTACCTTGATTTTCAGAAATAGGAATCAAATAGATATAACCCAATGATTGATGGGTGTAGTAAAAAAAAGAATTAATGAGTAAGCTTTTGTTGCTTTTGAGCTAAGTGGATGAAAATTGTTTATTATAACCATCATAGTTATTTTGTAGATTTGGTTTAATATAACAATTGCTGTGAAGAGCTGAATATTGATAGGAAAAACATAAAAATTACTATAGTCTAGTAGTATTTACGGTATTATAGAAACAAATTATAAGAAATTGAAATTGTGTTAAGCTCAAACATATTCCATATTAACTGGAAATCTTGGGGAAACCCTGTAAGTGCACCTTGATTACCCCAACTATAATCTTAAATTGAGATTGAGAAATTGTGCTATATTCATATGTATGTTGTTTGAGTTGATCTTTACTCACAACAAGTAGCCTACGTTTGAAGTGTTTTTAGATTAAGTAGCACTAATGCTATTAGTTTATTCTTCTGAACTGTTCAGTAGAGAAGCTGTTTAATGTGTAGTTTTTTTTTTTCTTTCATCTGTAGTATTTATGAATCAAGTGAGAAAGAAATATAAAAGACAGTTCAGATACCATATTTATATAAAAAGAAAATTCACCATTACAAAAGGCCTGGCTCTATTTTCTTATTTGTCCACATACAGAGGTATTGATGGGGATGAATTTCTTCAGAATTGGTCTAACTTGAAGACAGTTGTTGAATTCAAAAATAGATTGAGCACAAATTTTAGTTATGAGAGAAAACAAATAACATTGAGTTTAATTTTTTTTATATGAATTACGATTCTTAGAATTTCCCAAATTAATTGTTGTTTCTCATTACAAAAAAGGGCTTATTTAAAGTTTTTTGAAATTTTGTATTGTTCTATATCTTTTATGGCCAAAAGATAGTATGATAATATTAATTAACAGTACATGCAAAATCCTTACACTTTTACCAAATACAGGAGCTCAAGTTTTAACATCAGGTAAGACAATTCTATTTCTTTGTAATTCATAAAATTAATGTTGATATATGTAGCTATAACCATTTTTTAGTGGATTTCCAGAAAAGCTATATTTTTATTCCATTTGAAATTTAGAACTGTGCAATGTTGAATGATACTTCTTGCATATTAATTACTGGTTCAGTGAATTTATTATGCTAATGTTTTCTGGAATTTTATTTGAAAAGACCCAATACACTGTCTTGCATTCACACCTTTTTTTTTTGTACTCATATAACCTAAAATTCACATTTGGAAAGGGAATATGCATGCTAAAGAAAAGGGTTTTATCTTATAAAGTTAATGTTTATATCACAAATGATGTTGCATATATACATGTGACCTTTGTGCTTTGACTAGTGTGTATATATTATTTTATTATTATCTTTCCAGAATACATTTCCTACTGGAGTTTACTAGTGTATAGATGTTGAAATTATCATTTCATTATATACTTTTTACTTGATTTGAATAGTTGAGATTATTATTTCTCTGGTATAAATGTTTTACTAGAATTGATTCATGTTTGTATGTTGAGATGAATATAATTTTGGTATACATTTTTTTACTTGAGTTAACTAACATTCAAATTTTTAGTTTAGTGTTATTCTGGTGTATATTTTTTATTAATTTGACTCGGGGCAGATCCAGTGCAAAAACCTAAATAAAAAAATGCTAAAATGTTTAATAGAAATAAAGAGAGAAATAGAGATGAAACTTGTATAAATATTATATTTAATTATTTTCTGGAATCGGTTATGCTCATATCTCTGTATGGAAAGGGTGTAAAATGTTGAAGATGATAGCCATAAATGATCTTAATTTATATTTAACCAAAATATTATGATTGATTTGAAACCCACCATGGATCACGAAATGGCCATTCTTCATCTGGGGTTGACTAGTGTTCAAGCACAGTAAGACCCTGCTATAAGCTGATTCGTTATGGAGTTCTTGTCTCCTTGAGAGATTTTTTTTTTTTTTCACGAGAGAGAGAAAATTATGAAAATCCATAACTCTCTGAACATTACTTTTTCATACTGATGGTAGTAGTGAGCTCAATAATTTTTATTTAATAAAATGATGCAACAAAAAACATAGAATAATAACATGCAAAAAGCAGACAATGTCCCGTAACTATCACAATTTTTGTGTCATTTCTAGCTATGCAATGTGAACCATTAAAATGTCATCCATCTGTACAGTATCGTTCCCTTGAGGAAAAAAAACATTTTCTTAGGAAGTGGTCTACAAATTTCTGTACAGAAAACAACTTAATATAATTGGTAATTTGATAGATAAACCATGTCCGTCTATTGGTTATAACTAATATAGTTGTAAAATTAAGACAAACTTAAGTATTGACAAATCCTGAAAGAAAGCATGTGACAGGTGGGTGTGGCAGGAGGGGGTCTGATTTTGTATTTGGCTCTGTGACCAAACAGATTAAAGGCTATTAAAAATTTGCTTTTTTTCCAGCGAGGAGGATATTATAGTGAGTAATTTACGTTAAATTTACCAGTACCTAAATAAAGCACTTGTACAAAAACAGGTAAAAAAAACAATGCCTTTAGTTACATATCTCCATTAATGTGTTAAAATGACGCTCTTTATAACTGATTTGTTTTGAGCTCTGTTCTCAGGAACCCTTCCTGAGCACTAAATGGGGTATTACTGTACTTAGTTTAATATTATTCTGATTTACGTTTTTCACTGGATTGCTTCACTATACAAGAAGTGAGACAGGACTTGGTCTAGTGGCTAGCATGTTATGCTGTGGAACAGAAAGCCCAAGGCTTGAGCTGTAATATCTGCTGAACATGACGTGCACTTTAACTGTGGTGGTTAATAATTGACTGTCAATCTCACTATTTGTTAAGAGTAGCCACTTAGATGGTTATGTGCAAACTTCGTTCACTCTGGTAAGCATTTCTAAACTAGGAATGTTAGTACCTGAACTTTGAGGTGTCTGGTCTAGCCGTACAGCTCGAGTTCTGTAAGGTGTTGTTCTTGTTCAGAATAGTAAATACTTCATCAAGAAGCTATACCTAAAACTTTATAAAATGATGTTCTACACTGTTGTCACTTGTTATGGGATTACATAATTGAGTTAGTTTTTTTGTTTTAATGTCTATTTATTATGTAAGATTAAAACTTTAATAAATGATAATGAAAACAATGTGCAACTGTCATCTAATTCTATGAACAGCTATTTATGCAATTTTTTATTTTGATGGTTCCGAACCATCTACCTAAGTACATGTGAAAAAAAGGTATTTGGAACCAGCCATAACAAGAGTGAATTATTATTAAATGAATGCTTCAATTTATTTTTGTTTTCTTCTTACTGAACCGCCTGAAGTGGGACCGGGTAGCTTTTTAGTTCGCCCTTCAGACAACTCTCCTGGGAATTATTCCTTATTCTTTCATATCAACAATACTATTCAACGCTTTCGTATTGAACATCGAGGAAACAGATATTTAATGGGAGGAAGGTGTTTTGATAGGTAGGAGGATTTATTACTTCATGAAATTTAAGTATCATTTAAATATGAGAATTATTCATATCACTCAGACATAATAAATATATAGTTTCAGAATATCATAAACATGATTTTAATTTTAATCTTCATATTTACATTTTTTAAATCCTGCTTATTAAGTTACTGCACTATTTGTGAAAGTATTTCCAAGCAGTGATTAGCATTATCAATCAATCAAAATATATAAATTAATATATATATATCACATTTTTCTGGCTAGGGTGTTATGTAGTTTAATAATTGATATTTTCATATGTGTGATATAAATAGCATTTTGAAAGTATTGAGTAAAAAGTAATCTGTGTACTGATACTAAACAGTTTTTTTCAACAGTTTGGAAGCTGTCATTAATCGATACAAAAATGAACAGATTGTAGAAGGGCATACTCTGGGTGAACCAGTCCTCAAGGTAATACTTAGGTGTAGTGTGTGTATGATAAACATGGTGAAAGTTATTCAACCTTCATTTGTTTTGAAACTGTTCACGATATAAATACGTATCTTGTATTTTCTATAAATTGTGTTTTAATCCTGGTTGAACATCAAAAGCTCACCTTGAATATGTAAAGCATGTAACTACAAAAGTACTTATATTTAAAGAATTAAATAAACTATTAAAAATAACATTAGTTGTTTTTACGTATATTATACTTGTCACTTATTAGCAGATATTAGATCAGATAAACCATTAAGTAAGTTGACTGTTCCATAGCTTTTTTTCATAATATGGCCATTTTTTTGTTGGTTATCTTTAAAGTGCATGTAAAATATGGTTGAACAAAAGAAACATGTACAAAAATTATAGCTAAAAACAGTAAAATATGAAAAGTTAATTACTGCTATTGTTTAATTTACTGGACAAATCTTCCAAATAGAGAACTGTTTCTGAAGATCTTCGCTTAGCCAAATAAAGTAAGGGAAATTATAAATTTACATATATACATGTGTATATATCTACAGTGCAAAGTATTCACACTCTACCAATAATGTCACATTTTGATGAAATACAAATAATGTAAACAGTTTTTTTAATAAACTTGTTTTTATTGAAACTAATGATCAAACTTAACTCTGTTATGTGTGAAGAAGGTTGAATGGCAGCAAAACCTGCAAAGAAAATATATAAATTGAAATTTGCTGATTACATGAGTATTCAGTCAGTACTTGGAGGAAGCATCTTTGGCAGCAATTACTGTTGTGAGTCTTTTTGGATAGGTCTCTACCAACTTTGCACAATGAGATGATATAATTTTTGCCCATTCTTCTTGGCAAAATTGCTCCAATTCTGACAAGTTCAGTGTGGATCATTGATGGACTGCAATCTTCAAGTCTTACCATAAATTTTCCATTGGATTCAAGTCAGGACTTTGACTGGGCCACTCCAGGACATTCACTTTCTTCTTTTGAAACCACTCCAGTGTGGCTTTGGCCTTGTGCTTCAGGTCATTGTCCTGCTGAAACGTTAATTTTCGATCCAGTTTTAGATTCTTGGCTGACTCCAACAGGTTTTCCTCTAGGATTAACCTTTACTTTTCACCATCGATCTTCCCCATAATATGATGCTGCCACCACCATGCTTGACAGTTGGGATGGTGTTGACTGGGTGATGTGCTGTGTTGGGCTTCTGCCAGACATGACTCTCTGATTTTAGACCAAAAAGCTCAAATTTTGTCTTGTCTGACCACAAAAACCTTCGGACACATGTCTGCAGTATCATTTGCAAACTCTATATGAGATTTAAGAGGATTCTTTTCCAGTAATGGCTTCTTTCTTGCCACTTGTCTACACAGGCCGGGTTATTGTCGATGTATGAACACTGACTCCCATCTCAGACATGGAACGTTACAAATCTGTCAAAGCCACTGTTGTCTTCACAGTAGCATCTCTAATCAGTTTCCTGTTTGCCTGACTGCTTATTTTTGAAGGGCGGTCAGATCTCGGTAGTGACTGGGCAGTATGAAGGACATTCCACTTCTTAATGATGGACTTCACAGTACTCAAAGGGATAATCAGAGACTTTGAAATGTTCTTGTAACATTCTTTTGATCTGTGCTTCTCTATTACTTTATTCCTGACTTGTTAGGAAAGATCCTTGGTCTTCATGGTTGATTTGTCATATCATTATGTGAGCTGTGGCTTGAACAGATCCATTTACTCTGAAATCAAGTTAAACCACTTTGATTACACAGAGATAGAGACCATTGTGCTTAGTTTTTGACCTTTCAAACTACTTTTTGCACCTGAACTGATTTAAGGTTGCCATGACAAAGGGGTTGAATGGTTATGCAATTGAGAATATTCTAATTTTCTTTAAAAACTGTCTTTTTTTTTTTGCTTTCTCAGTTTGAAGTAGATTTTGTGGATTCTAAATATAAAGTCCCATTTAAAAGTTTCATGATTGCAAGCTTAGATAGCAACAAAATGTGGAAACTTTGCAGGGGGGGGGGAGGTGAATACTTTTGCAAGGCACTGTATATATATAGCCCATCCCCCAGAGGCTCAGTAGTAAGTCTGCAGGCATAAAATTCTAAAAACCTGGTTGTGATACCCATAGTGGACACAGCACAAATAGTGCATTGTGTAGCTTTGTGAGCCCAGGGGATCAGTGGTAAGTTTGCAGGTATAAAATTCTAAAAATTGGGTTTCGCTACCCATAGTGCATTGTGTAGTTTTCTGCTTAACAATGAACAAACAAATAATACATTTTATGGTTTTAAAAAAGAATATTTTCTGAATTGCACCGTATGTAGCTTTAAGGAGATTATGCTGATTAGGTCTATAATATGCTTGAGGAGTTGAAAATCGAGCTATATTGAGTTGATTCAATGGTCAAAAAGTTGAGGTTTGGAATTTCTTTTATTTAACCCATGTTTTAGTGATCATTGATGTATTTATCACCATTCGTTCAAGTGATTTTACCCTAGGCATGGCTGCTTACTCTAGGATGGAAAGTTATTAAATATATGTACTGTTTTTAAGTGTGAAAAATTTACTTATAAAATAGGGCAAAGCAGTTCTTAACAAAAGTTGCTTTTGTAGGTAGAAAAGAACTTGTGTGCAATTCCTCTGACTGCCAAAAACTTGTTCTCAGTTAAATACTCAACATATACAGTAGATAAAGGTGCACTTTTATAGTTCAGAAGTTAAAATTTTAAAACTGTAATTGTTTTGCAGCTTGTATGGGTAAATAGTGTAATTTGTTTTTATCTTGTGATCCTACTTGGATCTATTCTTGTTAAATTGTGTAGAACAAGGTTGATGAAGTTCTATTCCACTATGTTTATGTATATTTAACTTTCAAGTGATGGAGAAATTAAAAAATGAAATATGCACATATGTTTCTTAAAAATTAAATTATGATATGCTGTGTTGTTTGGGATAATGGATACATGTAGCAGTATATTCCACAATTATTCTTCAAGTAGAAATTGGGCAAGTTTCAAAACCTTACCTATATACACTATATGCTGGTACCCAAGGCAGTATATTTTTTTGCAAACCACAATACAAAATTTCATAAAGGTTAAATAAAGCAAATCAACTCAAACTTTTTACACAAAGAATTCCTACAGGATAACTTGTTACATAAAATATAGTAACTTTGATCACTACAGTTTATAATTGTTAATAACTCTTTGCTATTATTGGAACTTGTCTCACACTATTTATATAAATACACTTGACAAAAATTCTGCATATTCCAGAAAACATATTAGATGCAAAATTGCAAAGGATTAGATTAGTTGAAAAATCGTATTTCAACAGTGAACCATTGCATTAAACAACATTTTTGAAAATAGCTAGAAATAGTTATTCAAAAATACTAGAATATAATAATAATAATAATAATAAATCTTATTGTTCATTAGTTTGTACAATCTTTTAACAATTTTTTTGAACACCAAAATTCAAAATATAACAACATAATAGGTTTTAAATTTAAAAATAATTATAGCAAAATTTGTATGTTTAATAACCAGAAAGGCCCAGATAATTTTTAACCTATTTGGCAGGTTATTATTTTCTTTTAATTGGTAAGCTTTTATATATATTCATATGGGAAAACTTAGATCATTCTTAACTGAGTCCTTTTGTAAAAAATATGCTGGTGGTCAAAGAAAACAAAAAAGGGAAAAATGTTCATATGATTTTTCTTAAAAATTGCTAAGGAAAAGGAAAGAAAAAATGACTTTGAAAACTCTCATAGAACTAAAGCTTAAGCTGTCATGTATTCAATATTAAACCAGAGCTCATTCCTCCTAAAGTATTTCAAAATTTTATTTATTGGACTTTTATGTAGTTACAAGAAAAACTCAAAATACTTACTTTGGATCTGAAAGTTTGAAGTATCTATTTGTCAAAACTTGAAGTGTACTTAGACATAGCGTAACAACTAATATGGGGTTGTTGTAGTAAGGTCCATTTCATAGGCAGAAATGGTGTTTGGCTGCTTGACAACAGACACTTTTAATACCAGATAGTTGTCATCAAAATTGTAACTGACAATATTGCACATTATCAGTCCATTTTCAATAGAAATTAACTTTTTGGCTAGAGTTTTTAAGCCCACTTTGAGTTTGAGCAATAGTTACTTCAAAATTGCAGTGTGATATGAACCACAAGTGTGGGTTTGAGGGCAATATCACTTTTGCATTTATCATATTTTTTGTGTATAAGTGACAAAACTATAAAAGATATTTAGTGTTAATTGTTACTTGTAATTGACCTTTACATGAAAGATGATCAGTAGTAAAAAAAGTCCTCAAATCTTAAACCCTTTTTTTTAATTTTGCCAATATTTTCATTGTTTATTGCATAACTCGTGAAATAAGTTAAGTGTGACTTTATTAGCAGTAAAAACACTTATTTTACGAGACTGTATAATTTTTCTCTTTAGCTTGTTTATGTAGAAAACAAGGTTTATTAATGGTTTTTCAGATTTTTAAAATTCTTGGTGAAGAAAAGATTTAAATACATGTATTATTGATGGTAAATACTGTGAACAAAATTAAACTTATGGATGTTGTAAACAACCAGTATTCTGAGAATAACATTTTGAGATTTTAAACTATAATGCTGGAAACAACTTATAACTTAGTGTCTAAAACTTTTGCAATTTGGAAAATATTTTGACAAAAAACATCAGTTTTTGTGACTACTGTGACTCATGAGCAGCGGCCTACGAACAAAATGTAACTGAAACTCTTACTATAATGTTAGGTTATATGTGATAGGCTAAAAGTATTTTCAGTCATACTTTTTATATAAGTTTTCACATGAAATCTTACAGCAGTTTAAAAACATTCCATGTTTTTGTTGGGAATTATTATGAAAGATTGGACTGCAATTGTGTAAAATGTGTGTTTGTTTTTTTTTGTTGGAATTTCACATGAAATTGTATTGTATTTGTGAAGTTCATAGCACAACTTTGATTATTTAAATGTGCAGTATTTAATACATTTATTTTGTATATAATATCAGACATCTTATGAATCACGAGGACTAAGTAAGGCTGAAGAAGTCCAACGAAAATCTCAAGATATTTATGCCACTTTGAAAGAGAACAGAGAGGCAGGTGCAGCTAAACGTAAAAAGGATATTCGTATGACGGGTTACTTAAATAAAAAAAGTAAGTGCTATAATTTTTGTTTTTCAATAGAATAAAGTTATTTTTGTTTTCGGAGTATTATCTAGAATTATGGTTTTGTGATTTATTTGTTTGCATTAGGTTCAGAGAGAGAAATTAATTATCACAAAAACAGCAAATATAATAAGGATAAAGTAGGAATTTTACTTCTTACTTAAGGAAATGGTAGCTCACTATGGTAACTTAAATAACACTTGTAATACTAGTTGCAGACTCCAGTAAAATTGCTATTACTAACAGTTTTTTAGTTCATTTTGATTAAAAAAATATTTTCAAATTAATTTAGTAATTTTAATATATACACCTATTATGGCAAGTTTTATTAATGAAATATAGAAGAAAACTTATTTTTTATGATTCATAGTTAAAATATGTGGAGTTCCATCTGCTCTTCTTTTTCATTTGTTTTTTATATATACTGACTGTCTACACTGTTACTTTTTTGAGTACAAAAAAAAAAGTTGTAGCTTTAATATTTCTTGTTCAAAACAATTAATGTTATGTGGCAGAGACCAAAAATCAAAGCACACTTGCAAGCATTGAAAAACAAGTTTTATGTAGCCTTGCCTATATCTTCATATTCCCTTCAGTTTAGTATTGTTTTAGTCTAATCTAACCTTGTATGGTATGTTGTGTTGCTTTGTCCTCATTATATGTATAGTACGTCACTTAGTAATCATGAGGAAATCAATTATTTTCCAACCATTACATAACTGCTCTACCTGTCAAAAAAGAACTAATTTATTTGTGGACATTTATGTAAATCAAAAAATTAATAATTGTCTGTATATAAAAATAAATTTTTTTAGAATAATAATTAGAAAACTTTATTTTATTAACATAGAAAAACTTTCAATAGTTTTTCTCAGTTTACTTGATTGGCTATAGGCACAAAAGTTTGAGTATGGGAAAAAAAGGTAGTAAATTTTTTTAAATATATTTTACAGCTTTATATATGTAATAAATAAAAATTAGGGTGAATAAAATGTTTAGAAATGATACTAAGTTTCATGAAAGTTGATGTAACAGCTTGAGTTAAGGGTAAGTTTTTGAAGTGGTTTAATAATGTTTACAATGAGTTGAAAGGAGCAAATTGAACAACAATAAGGTGGAATTTCATTCACAATTGTATCAGTTGATCATATTGGCTATACTTTTTAAAACAGAACGAAACTTTCAAAATTACATTTTTAGACTTTGTGTCTTTTATTATAAAAATTTGACAAATAAAGGTATCGGGTACCTAAACTCAACTCTGTTGTAACATAAGACATTTATTCATCGTACTTGTATATACTTGTGAAGAGGAGGTATTTTTTATCAGCCTATAATAATAATCATCATCATCATTTTGTAATGTATTTTTCTTTCTCTAAAATAATTTGAAAGACAAATTAGGATTTTTATGTGTCAATAAAAGCTCTAAAATAAGGAATTTAGAAAGGAAACAGCTTTAAATATTTTCCCTGTTTATAAAGAAACAAGTGCTTAGATTTCATATATGAAGCTAAAGTACTACAGAAAATAAAGAAATTCGTCACTTTTGTTATTTATAAGCAATTTTAAAGAAAGTATTGAGAATATTGTCAGATTTTTTGGTATACTTTGTTCTGATTACTTGGTTACAACCTTTAGGTCAAAGTAACAAAAAATGGAAAAACCTTTACTTTGAACTTCAAGCTAGGGAACAGCAACTTCTCTACTTTGAGAATCCAAAAGTAAGTGAAGCTTTTTTTTGTCTCACAGTCTTGCTTCTAACTTTTTCTGACCTTGCAGTGTCCTTTATGTATGTTCTGCTAAAGAAACAGCTTGATACCCTGAATTATTAATTACAACTACACCTTTCAGTAGAATCTTAATCTGATTTAAATTTAAGCTTTAATTGATATGCCCAGCTTGACAAATTAAATCAAATGTAATTAGAATAATTCTGTTGTTATTACTAATCAGTTTGAGTTTGTTTTTTAGCAAGGGCTGATAGAAATTAGAATAATATAACTATCAGAAACAAGAAAGAAAAATATCTAATGAAGGTGATTTATTCAATTAGCCACCATTGATCAACTGAGAAATGATACTTTTTTTATTTCTAAAACACTTAAATGTAATTTTCAATTGTAATTAAAATCAGAAGCTGATTTTCACTTGGCTTCAGTCTTATTAAAAAGAAATGTGAATGTCAAAATTTTGTTGCTAGATTTGGCCTAATGTTTAGAAATTTAAAATAATTCATTACGAATATGTTTAATTTATGGCTTGATAAATTTGAAAGAAGTAACTTGAAATTGTTTTGAGAATTTTTTAAAACCTGGCAAAATGTTTATGATGTATTGTTTGTCTAATACGTCTGATCAGAAAGTGCAAAGTTGGGCAGTGTGCAGGATGAAATTAATCAGGTATTTTGTTTAGAATACTTATTCAAAAAGTTAATAATATTACTTGAAAGAACATTTTGTTCTGTAATCAATTCATATTTTTCCATTATCTCTGATTACATGACTTAACATGTAAAGGTGCAAGGTGAACAGCTATTATAAAATGCACAGGAAAGATAACAACTAGACAGTATGTTAGATATTAAAAAATGATGTATTAGTTTGAATAATTATTTATACATTATCATTGTTTACTTTTGTGGGAAATATCTGTATATTTAGTAACCAATGCTTGTGGATAAACTGGTTGTATGGTGTTTTCTGTTCACTGTTTTATCAATATGGTGAAATTAAAATCATAATATCATTCTTATCTTTGTGTCATTATTAGGAAAGGAATATAGTTTGGTTCAGTTTACTGAGAATGGTAGAGAGATTCAATGGGATCTGTACTTAAATTTGTCAAACACTTGGATTGGCATGTTTCGTGTCATGATTATTTATTTAGTATCTGATGTTTTAAACAAGGGAAAATAATCACTGAATGTTTAATGCATCTTTATATTTGTCATAGATGCAGTTTAAGCTCTGGGCAACTTTTCTTCATATTTGTTGGAACAAGGCTTCAAAACAAATACTTGTATCATTAATTTGTGTCAATCTGATTGTATTTCATTCTCTGGTTAGATGAAAAACACTGCTTTTATTAATATATTACTTGACCAAATTTTCAAACTGTTATAACTAACTGTTTGTTAGTGAATTACAAAAGACTGTAACCACGTATTTGGTGTGGAATGCTTTTTTCCATGGTGGTGTCACCATTTGAAAACACTTCAGTGTTACAGTATATTTTACCATGTATTTCCTTTATGTTAAAATACATGTAAATTTCAGAACATGAGGGATTTTGTAGAAGAAATGGTTTTAAATCATACTTAATTTTTCCATAAATAAACTATGTCTAGCTCACCAGTAATATTTTGTGAACATATAATTTTCAAACTATTAGTTTAATAAGCTTAAATTTGCTGTATAATTAAGTTCAATTTCTCTGATATATTTGAGCATAAGAAAATTCTTGAATATTGTTTTATTGTGTGTCTGTTCTATTTTTAACATATTTATTGCATTTTTTTTCTTCATTATAAAGCGAACAAAACCAAAAGGCCTAATTGACCTGAGCTATACCTATTTATACATGGTGCATGATAGTTTATTTGAAAGGTAAGTTCCAAATTAATATTAAATAAACAAATTATTAACTTTAAATATTTATTACTGACCATGTGTTCTTGTTTGTTCAGACACTAGTATCTTGATTTTTTAATAAGGGAGGTAAAATGCCCCCCCCCTTTTTTTTTGAAGACTTATTTTCCAGTGTTTTGCAGTACTAAATTCATTCATAGAGCACATTAAAAAATAGTTTTGTTTTTAAGTTACTAATATGTAGGATCAAATATAATATAAGCTCACTTATGTATTATTACATATTTTCTATAGCAGTTTAGGTGATTTGTCAGTATATTACCTTATTGCATTCATTTTAATGTCATCCTCTTAGGCTTGCAATAAAAAAAAATAACTCTCTCAGTATGGGTTCAGTCCCAGAGACTGACCTTGTAAAAATGTTGTGCTTGTTGTAGTTTTCATACTATAACTTTTAATACAGTATGCTTATCTTCATGAAATTTTGAAGATTATCAGTAAACATTACAAGGCTTTCATACACAAAATATCAGATTTTTTACTAAGTTTCAAGATTTTCATGCATTTTTTTTAAATGTTGACTATCCAACATGCAAAGTAATTTTTATTTCAAGATTAAAGTCCTTTTATGCATCAGAAAATTGTCAAATTTCACCTGCAAAATCTTTACAACCTCCTAATAACCCCCAAATAATTATTAAACGTATTTTTTAGAAAACTTTATATTTTATCTGTTATTTTCACTATTGTATCTCTGTATGGGTTTGGTTGATTTGTTTGACCTTGTAACTATCATAAAAAAATTAGGAACTAGATATAAATTACACTTTTTTCGTTCTAGGATGACTGCAAATTATAAAACGAAACCACAAATGTTTAGTCTAAATAGCTTAAATCTCGATAAAATTATACATCTCTGTATATTTATTATTTTTATTTTGTTGACCTTTCAGCTGTGTTTGACTAACATTACAGAAGTTGCAAAGACATGGCACATGTGCACTCATGTTACCGAATCCTGTAGTATAAAACTGGACTTTACAAAGTGACCTATCTTGGCTATGTTCTAGTGGACCAGTATTTTGTAAAATACAGTCACAATTCACTTATTATACATTACATATGTATATTACTAGTTACAAATAAGTTCTTAAATTTCAGTTATTTTTCTTGAAACATAGATCAGTAAATAAAAGAGTATAGAAAACAACAATCTCTTCTACTTTCAAACTTTGTACTTGTTTGCTGTAATTTGCTAAGCCTTGTCAAATTTTCTGTGTAGAAGATGTAAAACAAAATATTTTTTTTGCGTTTTATTTATGCATTTTGAAATCACAAAAAATCATAAGTTACTGTATCAATACCACTGAATTCCACTGTAATTTATCAGGCTTAGCAACTAAGCTGTATTTCGGTCTAAAAAAAATGATATTTTGAGTTCCATTCTCTCCTACCTTTCTGCTTTGATTCTACCATGAAAAAGAAGGTTTTCCCACGTAAACACTTCACAGAGTTTGAGAAAACCACTTGGGGGACATTCTGAGTTTTCAATTGGTTATACATGTCATAGAGTAAAGTAGGTTATGTAAGCAATTATTTACAAAACTGGAAGAGTTGGTTGATCCACTAAATATAATATCTCAGTAAATAGAAAACCACTTGGGGGGGGGGGGGCATTCTGAGTTTTCAATTGGTTATGCATGTCATAGAGTGAAGCAGGTTATGTAAGCAATTATTTACAAAACTGGAAGAGGTGGTTGATCCACTAAATATAATAATATCTCAGTAAATAGAAAAGATAGGAGGTTCTTATTTTATATTCTAGCTTGTTAATATTGGTGATTTAAGTTTCTAATTCTTAAGAAACTGTAAACTTTGTAGTTGGACATTACAAACATCTAATTTTAACCAAACATACCACATGACACACAAAAATCGATATTCAGGAAATATTTTTTGTTTATATTTTCTTTTAAAATTAAGAAATTTAACTAATGTATAATACTAAAATTTGAATTATAATCTACGGTTTGACACCAAACTTGTTGATATACATTCATAAAATAGTAGTTCAATAAAATTTTGAATGTAAGTCTACAAGTGTGATGACATACACTTTGACCCGATAGGAAGACCCATCAAGAAGGGGTGTATATTCCTGTAGTCTCAATCAAGATGAAGTAACATAACTTTTGTAATTTCTAGTTCTTTGTATTCAGTTCTACTAAAGTTATAAATACATAGAAATTTAGTAATTGAAGTTAAGACATGATGAAGAGCTTTTAACAAGAATATGTGGTATTTGTTTACGAAATAAGATTTAAAAAAGGGATAATAGTTGGTAACTGATTGTTATTATAGCTAGTCTTAAAGAAGCAGATGAATTAATTAAGAATAATAAGATTTTCAAGTATTTCAGAATCATGAAGATATAGTTATTATACTTTTTCTTACAGTACAAGATCTGTCTATTGTATACAATATATTTCAGGCCCAACTGTTTCCAGTTAGTTGAAAAGGCTTTACCATGTATTAGCACGACGTATTACCTTTGTGCCAGTTCTCCAGACAATGCTCAGGTAAGGTTAGACTCATCTTAAAAGTACAATAACAATTTTTGCATAAAAGCCAAAGTGACAAAAAGTAATGAAAACTGTGAGAAAAAGACCCCAGAAAATGGCTGGATAAAAGATTAATGGTATATTAGTGTAAGGTATGCTATGTTTTCATAATTAAACAAAATCCAGTTCAAAGTGCTAGGCATGGCCTGGTAGTAAGGGAGCTTGACTCGCAATTTAAGGGTCACGGTTCAAATCCATGTCCCACCAAAGATGTTCGTCTTTCAGCCATGGGCATTATTTGTTGGTAAAAGAGTAGCCCAAGAATTGGCGGTGGGTGGTGATGACTAGTTGTCTTCCCTCTAGTCGTTCACTGCTAAATTAGGGATGGCTAGTGCAGATAGCCCATGTGTAGCTTTGTGCGAAATTCAAAACAAACAAACAAGTGCTAAGAATATAAGTTATGTCGGTACAACTTTGTATTGTAAGTTACATTTTGCAACAAGCAAGTTAGTATTGTAATGTGTTACTGTCAGTTTCCTTAAGAAGAGATGCAGAATAATGAAAGGTTCAACAAATACTGTAATACAAAACAAAATGTGGTTTCTTTCAACTTTGACTTAGTTTGAAGCAAAGAAAGAGACTTGACACATGTTTAAGAATTTTTATTCTCACAAAAAATACATATCAAAATTTTCTAAAGGGCAACTGTATATGCTAGCACTGGAGCTTTCACTAAAAGGTACTTGAAGGAAAGGAATGTTTAGTCACACGCCTTGATCCATTTAAATATACATAAGCTTTAGTGAGAGCAAATAATGGTGCAGTAATCTTTGAGAAATGGGCCACAAAACATTGGTAATATGAAATAAAACCAAAGAAACTATGGACTTCTCATTTTGTCACAGGTTGAGGCCATTTATATACCATGGTGATCTTCCTGCATTATTTTTGAGAAGCTCCACCTGCATGTGTATATAAACTAACAATTACCTGGTTTTACTTATAGTTCTGCTCTCCTTAACCTCTGAAATACCATTCTGAGGTTTTTGACAGGATTTTCAAATGTATGGCTAAACACCAAGACATTGTTTACAAGACCAGCTACCTTTCCCTTTGCATATCCTTCAGCATCAGCTCCATTAACCTCTTGAAAGTGGTGGGAGCATTACAATGACCAAACAGTATGAGTGCTAAATTCAGTTTAAGGCTTGCTCTAGTCATCTAGCTTGACAGTATATATAAGTCAGGTTTTAAGTGCTGAACCATTGGCCATCTTCCACCATGTCCAGACATTTGTCTGTGCATGGCATGGGGAAGGCATCAATTTAGGTCATTGTGCTCATCTGTCTGAATTTAACACAGTACTTTGGCATGCTGTTCTTCCTGGCAATCACTACTGGAGATGACCATGCACCCTATGATGGCTGTATGATCCCATCCTTAGTGCTCCAGGGCAGCGTGCTCAACAAGTGTTTAATCAGACATACATCACTTGTCTCTATGTAATGGTGAGCTACATCTTTAAGACCCAGTTGATCATCTAGTCCTTCTAATATATTGGCATGATCAACCAACAGTTCACTGAGCTTCTGCCACTGTGTTGAATCAAGATTACTTGTACACTCCTCAACTAGTGACCTCAGATGTATCTCCAACTGAGTATTTGCTTTCACTACCACTAGCTTCAGCTACCTCCACTTTGCTTGCCATGCCACTAATAATTACTGCGTGTAGCTGAATATCCAGCTGCTCATAATTACAGAATAACACCGAGTCTTCATTCCTTCTTGAACAGGTCACTGTTCATGCTAATGGTGTCTGCTTTCTGGACAGGAAACAGTACATTTCACACGCTAACTCTACAACCATGATATGTGCCATCAATGCACTAGACTTCATCTGTAGTAAATTGGTAATACCACAAGGAGGCACTGAGTTCCTCCACAACATAAACTCGGGTATTTCACTGTTCCTGGTCCCAGTCTGGCAGCATCAGATGATTTACCCACCAAAAGGCAGCTTACCTGTTGCACAGGCAAAACTGATGGATAATTTCCAATGTCCCTCCATTCATTATAGACTCAAGCCAGACTCTTCATCAAAGATAACTATTATCATTCTGTGGTTGATTTCACTGATAAATAGTCAGAGCTTTGCCTCTCCTGTCACATCTAGTGTATAACTGGCTGGAGTGGTGGCTTCACTTAGAGTGCCTGACATATGATGAGATCAACCAGGAACTGTATCTCTCACTCCATTATCTTCAGGCACATACTAAGCTTCCTCTAGCCCTGAGAGGGTTAAGCTGTCTACCAAAGCCTTTTTTGTAAGCTGCCTAATAAACTCTCTCAAGTTATTGGCCAGTCCTGACTCAACCTCCATTAGTTTCCTAGAGCACCTTGCTTATCTTGCTGTTGGCAAGGTTTGAGCAGTTCACTTTAAAGTGACCCTACAGCCCACAACCAAAGCAGATGCTCTGATCTCCCTTCAGGAGTGACATCTGGGCTGAAGCATCATTGGCATAAGCTGTGGCACAAACATCATGGACAAATCTTGATGATTTTTCCCATTCACCAAGAACCAGTGTGGTTGTACTGCACTGCTGGTATGTGTCATCTGCTGGTTTGCTTACATGAGTCACACCCTCAAGTAGGGCACTTTGTCTGAGGTGCAACTGCTAGTGTTGCAGTCCGTCCAAAGTTATGACTTCAGACTTCATCACCACAGAATTTACCTCTGTTACGGTGAATATATCTCTTGCATCTTAGTGATTCCTCATCTGTCTACTACATATCCCTCCACTATGAACTTGCCAACAAGAATGTCTCTGTGGCCTATAGAAGCCATTGCAGAGTCTGTCTTCTTATTCATCTGGTGCAGACCATCAGCACAGATGCTCAAGTATGTGGAGGGACCCCTTCTTTGAGATATGAACTTGGGCTAGCAGACAACTCAGTCTTCTACCAGGTCAAAACAATGGTGCAACTTGGCAATGACTGTATTTCAGTCTCTAAGTCATGCTTCACTCAAGTGCTGAATTGCATCAAGAGCTGGACTGTCAAGACTCAGGGTAAGGCATCACATTGCCTGTTCCAGCCATTCCAGTAGTGATCTGCCTGAAATACTTCAGAAAGCAGTCCATATATTATTTTGCTGTACACTTGATGTCAGGGGCTCCTCACCTACATTGGGAGGACAATAAACCCATGCTTGGACAAGTGTTTGATCCCTGCCCAAGCTTTCCCATGACATGTGACTTCCCTGGAAGCATATCTCCCTGTTCAAGGAGGCCCATATCTTTGTCAGTCTGTACCTGCTGTTTCATGTGTGGTTAAACAGACCCTATTGGTGGACATCTAGTAATGGTACCTCCAGTCTCTTGGCTAGTTAAGGATTGCTGACCACAACCAGAGTTAAACTACTCTGTCCAGTGAATGCCTAAGAGTTCTAGAATCCATCCCATTCAGTTTCAAACATTCCAGGTTGCGCAACACTATAATTCTTACCTCTTGTGCACTGAGGTCTAACCTTAGGTGGAAAACCCAATTAGTCATTCTGTGTACATATGCTGTATTCTGGCAGTCCTACCTTCCCAGGTCTGTGGCTGCAGCTCAAAAGATGTCATGGACCTTTGCAGCATTGGTAAAAGTTCTGTGTCTAGGAGAAGACTTCTTCTAGACACAACACCTTTCTCTCTTTGACAACTAACAGGCCTGTCTCTTCTCCTTGACTAGATAGATCAAGCTTCTGTTTTAGAGCTAAAAACCTTTTTACATCAGTAAAGATTATAAGACTTCTTGCAACATTAGAAAGTTACTTTTACTTTTCCTGCAAACTAAGGCTTGTTTGAACTATACAGTATGTTAATTAAGTTTTGTTTACAGATAAAACAAGTAATATGTTTTTAAAACCTTTTGACTTTTCACAGACTGTTTCATTAGGTTTATCCGTCATTTGCAGGTGGATTTAATTGTAACGCCTGATTATGCTAGATAAACCTTGTGAAATGTAGTGTTTATTGAAAATTAAAGAGATATTAAAAACATCTTACTTGTTTTATCCATAAAGAAAAATTTAATTTTCATATTAAAAGTTTTCCTGTATTTTAATTCAGTTGTACAGTATGATGTATAAGCAATTATGGGTTAGTAACAAGGTAGATATTTTGCATACTCTTGTTTGTTAAGGATGATGTACTTAATTCCCTGTATTTTGAATAGCTAGTTTTATTATGATTTTGATGTGATTTCACCAATGAAATACAAAAAATGTAGAGCAGATTATGAAAGGAAAGTAAATGTTTGAATTTTAGCCATATTATTATTTGGCAAGTTAAGCTGAGCTTATGTAAGAATATGAAAACTATTTGATTTTTGACTGATGACTGTTATTTTATTCAGGCTGCTTTTTTGTTTCTGGTAGAAGATTAAAAGTGATTTGATTAGTGTAGTTTTTTTTTAAACTTTCTATGCTTGGCCTAGTGGATAGTGTATCAGACTGTGGATCCAAGGGTCCATGGTTTGCATCCCATTTCCTGAGAAACAAACATACACAGATCACACTCCACACTTTGGGACAATGGATGAGTTATAAGAATGTTGGAAAAAAAAACACTATGCTATTAGAATAGCCCAAGAGTTAGCAGTGAGTGCTGTTAACTAACTGCCTTTCCTCTTGTCCGCCAGTTCAAAATTAAAGATGGCTTGTACAGATAGCCCTTGTATAGTTTTTCATGAATATCTGAAATAAAAAAAATCCTTTTATACTTTTAGTTTTGTAAGAAATAATAACATTTTATGCTGGAAACAAGGGATACACATACAGACATGACCAATGTCATCATTTGAACCACTGACACTAAAAGCTAACAGCCAAACACAGAATTTTCATGATTATAAGAAATTGTTCTACATTACATGCATGTTGTTCCATTAATAGTTTTGGACACTACAGTTAGTGAAGAAAACACTTGATGGAGTCAGTTCTTACACTGCTTTGATAATCATCAATATTATTCACAGAGCTTTTGTCACTTTTGTTTCTGCTCCACAAAGCTCGGAAATTGTGTTGTACAAATAAAATGTGCACAAAGATGTAGTTCCTTCTGTCTCTAACTTATCATTTTTATATGACAATTATCAATGGCACTTTAGCTTAACATGTCTTAATAAAAAAAAAAAAAAAAGTGTACAAAAATATGCTTATTGTCTATGTCAAGTTTTAACAAACAACTAATCTGTTGTTAGTGATGCTGAATACTATTGCTATAATGCTATAAAATTATGTTTACATTTGTATGCAACTTGAATGCAAGTGTAAACAATGCTGAAGGAAAGTTTTGTTAGTATTTAACAACAGTGCGGACTTGAGGATTTTTGGACACATTAAAAAAAAT